AAATACCAGATAATACATTATTTTGGTCATATTTATCAAATCATTTATTTCAACGTTCAACACATTATTCAATTAAATTAATTCGATCATTTCCCGATCTTATACAATGTTGTTCAATAAATGATAAACAATTAGCTTTACAATTTTGTATAATACCATCATTAGAATATCATCGTGCAAATATATCAATACAAAATCCAATAAATATTGAAATAATTGAATATCTTATTCAAACACTTCCAAATCTTTTATTTGATATTATTATTGATATACCATTATTATCATTATTTGATACATTAATATCTTTATCATCATTATTACCATCACTTCTTATTCATACATTACCTGCTTTAGGTTGTTTACTTACATCAACATCAAATCGTTTAAATTTAAATTTATCAGAAAAATTTCTTCATTTAGTAATTAAATTAATTAATTCATGGTCATTATCGAATGATAGTATTGATAATTTATGTCATATACTTATTATACTTTTACAAAAATGTTCAACATTTCGACAAATATTTTATGCTAATTTATGTCATTTAAGTTTATATGAACGTTTCCAATTAATGTTAAATAATAAATTAACAATACAATCATCAGTAATTGCAAGTATATTTGTATCACTATCATATTATAATAATTCAAATGATAATAATTTTAATTATAAATTAATAATTGAACAAATAACATTATATAGTGAAAAAAATCGTTATAATCGATCATGGTTTGAATTACTTGTACGTTTATCATTATCTCAACAATATCAAGATAAACGAACACGATGGAAAAATTCAAATAATTATAAAAATCAACCACTAAATGAAATTGATGATGAAAATTCAACAAAATCAATATTATCGGTAACAAATACTGATGTAGAAATTTTTGAAAATCTTGATGACGATGATGTTTATTATGGTGATGTTGAATCACTTAGTGATGATATACCAATAGAAAAAGTTGCAAAACAAAATCAAACAATTTATTCAAATTTAATTCTTTTTCCAGAATTAGTTATACTTGGATTAAAAATTACTTGGCAAAATGTTGATAATGAATGGTGTGATCAACAAACTACAAATAAAACATCTATTTATGTAAGTTAAATTATTTAACTGAAGTCAATTTTGATTTGATTATTATAAAATCATCAGCAGAATATAAATAATCGATAAAAAGTATTTCACATCTTCGAAACGACTTAAAGCTTCAGAGTAAAAAATGTTATTCAAATAAGAAGTACAGTTTGGGTTCAACTTCGAAAAATTTTCAGCAACGGAGTTCTTATTCAAAAATTTTAGGACCTCACATACTCCATTGTAACCTATAGTGCCAACGTCTTGGCACAAAATATTCGCTTATTTTTCTTCGGTTATTAAAAGACAACTGGCTAGATCTAGAATCAGAATTTTTCTCTATTTCCGAATATACGATGCTCAGGTTCTTTTTCTGAAGAAAGATTGAACAATTATTCATCAATTTGGTGAACAGGTCCAAAATTGTGTCTATACAAAGTACAAGTAGCAGTTTTGGCGCAGTCTGTAGTTTGTGTATTGGAGCAGTTTCAACTTAACGCTACTGAATTCTATACCAAATGAAATATTACAATAAGTAAAATCTCATTTGTGCGTTTCCACTGAAGAGCTAGTTTCTATGAATATCGGCGTTAGTGAAAAAATCGCTGTTTCAAAAACTGCTTTTGATAATACAAAAGTTTTAAAATCTGTTATACAAAAGTAAATAGCACACTTTGTAGAGCAAAGTTTGTCCTAGACAATTGATGGAGAACCTCTACAGGTAGTAAATCGCTTTTCGATCAAGACGATGTTCATTTGATGAGTACTAGAGAGTAATAGAAAAGTCTACAATGGTTTGGTTTTCCAAGCCTTCATTCTTGAGATATCAAAATTTTACTGAATTTTTCAACAAAAAGCTGTAGTCTTCCTCAGATCACATGAAAAACCGACTTTTGATCTTAAACTTTGCTCAAACAAAGTTCTTTATGAGATTAGTTGATTGTATACCGAGTAGTTTCTTTCTGAGATGTAAATATATGAACAAAATTTGCTTTAATATATGAGAGAATTTTGAACATTTCAGAATAGGAGATACTAGAAAAATGACAACTTGTACAATGAATTAATCTCATTGAGAACTTTGTTCGTGCAAAGTTTGAGATTAAAAGTCGATGTTTCATGTGATCTAAGGGAGATTACAGCTTTTTCTTGAAAAATTCAGTAAACTTTTGATATCTCAAGAACGAAGACTCGAAAAATCAAACTAAACCAGATTTTTCCATTACTCACTGATATTCATCAAATGAACATCGTCTTGATCAAACAATGATTTGACACCTGGTGAGATTCTCTTGTTAGCTATTAAAAACTGTTTCACATTTAGATTTCAATAGAAATACAAAATAGTATGTTGTACAAGTACTATTTTTTAGACCTTTTGAAACAATCTGAGGACAGTTGTTCAACCTCTTACCTCAGGAGGAAATTCTGAACAAATATTCAGAAAAAGCGAAAAAGTCTCATTCTGACTGTAGCCAGTTGTGTTTAAGTCACCGAAAAATAAATGAATATTTTGCGCCATAGATTAGAATATACTTTGATAGTTTCTTTGACTTTAATAAATTCAATTTTTGATATCAAATAAAATAAATATTATTTATTTTTTTTTGTATTTTAAGGTAATAAATCTTGTTACCTACTTAGAACTATTATCATCATTAGTCCGTGCAAATAGTTATAATTGTATTGTATTAAAACGATTAAATATCGATGGTTATCTATTTACTTGTCTAACAAAAATTGTTCCTCGTTCATCATTTACACAAAAAGATGCATTAATTTCATTAATAATAACACTTTTACAATTTTTATGGTCACAATCTATAACAGTTAATCAACTTGATGAATGTTTTAAACTTATATTAATTCATCGATCATTAGTTGGACCATTACTTCGTTTATTTAAACATCTTGTACAAGAAATTGATTCAAATCAACCACGTTCATTTTGTTCAATGCCATTATCATCAATAGTTACATCAAAAGGTGGAAATAATTTACGTTTAACACTTGATCAATTATTTTTATTAAAATATCCTCAAATAGAAAATAATCAAATAAATTCATCTATTAATTATAATAATGTTCGTCAATCAGCTTTTGTTACTGAAACATTAAAAACGATTCAATTTCATTTTCCATTATCAATTGCTATATGGTTAAAAGTTAATTATCCATATGATAAACATGAAACAAATGATGAAAATCAAGATGAAAATGAAGAATCGATTAAAAAAGATTATCGACCTATGTTACATATTCTTACATTACATCATGAAGGTATTCAATTACAATTTTGGTTAGATTCAAAACCTAGTATTTGTTTCAAAATTGTACAATTATCATCAACATCAGATCTACAACGTGAGTCATTTTAAGATAATAGTCTTTCTCGAATTTTGATTGATCAATAACCAATACCTGTTAAAACTACGGACACTTGCTCTGTCTTGTATGTTTTTGGTTGCAACTGGAATATAGCTTTTTTGTAGATATAGATACGAGTGTTTGTGGGTACTCATAGATGTCCACAGTTTTTACAGGTATCCATCAATAACACAGGCGAAAAATAATAATACGTAACAGATTTGTTTGTTAATCAATGTTGAGTTTCTTGATTTCATGGATCATAGCAAACAACAATATCTCATATGATATGTGGAGATATATGATTTCTATCATTCGATTCATTTTAAAGTATACGGATAGATTACATTCGTTTATGGTTTTTTCGAAATTCTACTTTTTTTTTAAAACTCGTTTATGATGTATAGGCTTTATAGGTCAATACTATGACATGTTTTTTTTTAAAATTTCATATTCATGCTTTCCAATGAATAGTATTATTCGAAGTATAGATTTTTTGAAATTTTGTTTGCACATACGATATTAATTATAGATTAAGAATCTCTTGATTCTTAATATTTATCATTATCTTCTGTTTTAAATAGAATACTAATTAGGTTTGATACTAAAACTTAGTTATTTACAATAAAATCCATCTTATTATATTTCATAATTTAATTTCATTAATTGCTTTAGAACTCGTTGATTATAATATTCGTCTATGTAATCTTCCACGTGAATCTTGGTCTCATGTATTTCTTACAATATCAAAAATAACAAATACAGTTCGTGTATGTCTTAATGGTCAAACATCTCTAGCTAAAAATTATTCCATACCTCAATTATATTCTTCAAATTCAACAAAACCATGGTCAATTTCACTTGGACAAGAATCATTAGATACATGTACAATATTTTATTATGATCTTGGAAGTATTCTTCTTTTTGATAGAGTTGATTTACCTAATGGAATCAATAATGATTGTATTCCAACATATTTATTTAGTTTGGGTTCAGATCATTGGCATTTTTTAACAGGTGGTCATCAACAACAATTACTTGTTAATTATTGGATATATCAAAGATTTACTCGTGTTCATCCATCAATGCCTATTGATCAATTTGAAATTGAACAAAATTCATGGCATACAGTATTAAAACGTTCACTTTTAGCTTCATATTCATCAAATAATCCATGGACATTATTTATATTTAATACAAATAATGATATAAATGAAGATAATATACCAAGTCGTTTTAATAAAATTTTACCATTTCGATCATCATCATCATCATCATCCTTATCAACAACATCATCAATAATAGCAAATGATGATAATTTATTAACAACAACAACAACAATTTCTTTACCATCGAGAATTTCACTTGAACAATCAAGTAATATTCTTAATATATGTGAACAATTAGGTGGAATATTAAATTTTATTTATTTATTTGGTAAAGTTGTTGAAATAAATACATATCCATCATCATCATGTATTTGTCATATAAGTGATATTATATTTACATCAATATGGAAAGTAAAATCTTATTATGATTTATTTAATTCTCTTGATGGTTATCGTTTAATTGTTAAAATATTAACAACAAATGAATGTACACGTCATATATCAAATGTATTTTATGAATTATTAATTAATAAATGTATTATATTAAATCAACAACGTTTATATGATATAAATTTATTTTGTTTTATTTTACTTGAATGGAGAATTTGGTATAATCATTCAAAAATTTTTTATCTTATATTAAAATCTTTTGATGATTTATTATCTGATCAAATTAATTCAAAATATTTTTATGTTAATAGACAATTATTTAAAACTCATTTTACACTTGAACATTTCTTAATATTATGTCAAGAAATAATTGAAGAACAACAAGAAATAATTATTGATAAAAAATTAACTGAACTTTTAGTAAATATTATTGAAGCTTTAGTTGAAAATGATATAAATATTATTGCATTATTAATGAATTTTGTTTTACTTATACATCCATTAATTAAAACTTATGTTACATATAATAAAGAACATTTTTATTTTATTACAAAATCATTTAATTATTATCAAACAAGAAAAATATATCAAAAAGAAAATTTAATTAAACAAATTCATAATAAAAATAATTTAAAAACTTCCCATCGAAAACGTGCAACAACTCTTCATCCTGAAGAACAATCGGAAATATATCCTGTTAATAATGAAAATTCAAATGTTCGAAAATCATATTCATATTCAGATTTATTATCATCAACAATATCAATTGGAAGTGAGAGTGACACATATAATAATCGTCGTGTATATCATAAAACTATATCATGTATACCGACAACATCAAAATCACCATCAACAACACTTAATATTGAATCAAATTTAATAGGAAATAAAGATTGTTCTCATAATATTGATTATCTTTCAACTGGTATTTTACGATTATTAACAAATATAGCTTTAACAGCATCGGATCGTTTAATGATGAAATTAATTGATCATGTATTTCGTTTAAATATTTTAATTGTTCTTTTACTTGATGCATCCATGACTAAACGTATTCAATGTATAAAATTACTTGATATTATTTTAAAACGTATGGATAAAGATAAAGTACAAAATGATGTATTAAGAGCTGATTTACATACAATGTTAGCTAATCAAATATATCATCAATTAGATGGACGTGATGATGAAAAAGAACTTGTAGAAATTTGTGTTTCTATTGCATTACAACGTCCTATTCAATTTGATATTAAGTTAAGGTATGAATATTAAAATTCAATATGTTAACGATACATAGATGTTTAAAAAGAAAATCGTATTAGAAAAAGAAATAAGATTTTAATTAATGTTCATATGAGTTCAAAAATGAATACATTCAATTGAGTAGTTAGTTTCAAACATTTTATTTTTTGAAGTTCGACGTACTTATTCATTAAAGTTAGGATTCATCTTATCGAAATTTTTAAATTCAAATTCTATAAATACGTTTGATTTAGCTAAGGTGTTTGATCTACAGATGGTATAGAGAATACGATTATCTTTGAGATTTATCTTTAATAAAAACTATATGCTTAAGTTGAAGTTTTTTCTTTTTTTTTTCTATAAATTATTTGTTTTTATAGTCTATCAGAACAAATTCATGATACTGAACAATATTTTTCTATTCTTTCTTCTTCACCACCATGTCCACGATCTCAAATTGGTTTTGCTTTAGTACTTTCATTTATCGAAAAATTAACTCTAACAAATATTTATTTATGTGAATTAATTCTTAAATTACTTGATCAAATTATATTACAATCATGTGATGAAAATCGACATTTTCTTGTTGATATTGGTGTAACACAAGTACTTTTTAATACACTTTCATCAGCTATATCTATTTCACAAGAGAAAATAATAATATGTGTACAAAAATGTTTTAATTCATTAATAACAACTATGTTTACAACAAGTATTAATGATGATATATCATTTATATCAATTATTAATAATATTGTGGGAATGATAATGATGAATGATGATATAGATGATAAAGGTAAGTTTTAATAATAAATAGATCTTCAAAAAAAAACCATGTCCGTGGAGAGATTCGAACTCTCGCCCCATTTCTAGGACACGCATATTCAGTTCTATTTTGCTTCCTGAAGCGTGCTTCTTAGACCACTCGAACACACGGACTTTGTAATAAATTAAAATTTTAATTTAGATTGTTCTAAAATGTATCGACGTATTTTTCATCAAACATTATCTAATATGCTTAATTCAATACTTGATTCAATTGAAAAACTTCGATCACATGATATAATATCATATCAATCAAAATTACAACGAAATAATCTTGTTGATATTAATTTAAATTTAAAAACAATTGAATATTCTGATAGATTTCGTAAATTTTTACAATTATCACTTGATTATATTTATTTATTTCATAATGAATGTTCATTATTTGAAATTTTTACATTACATTTATTAGATATATGTTTACTTGGTATTGCATATCTTATTGAAAAACGTTCAAATTTTATAAATACTCGTCATCAAATGTCATTAATTATGTTTCGTTGTGGTGATGTTATTAAACAAATAGGACAAAAATTATTAACTATATCACTTGATCCTGATAAACAACGTTTTATTTTTCGTATACAAATATTAAAACATATTATTGATCAACCAAATTCAAAAGCAATTATGGAATATCTTTTAATTAATGATATACAATGTTATTTATATCATCAAATACTTATTTATTTACAAATAATTTCAAATACAATACCAAAAGATTCGGAATTTGAACAAATTAATAATCAATATCAAAATTTATATGAACAACCAAGAAAATCAGTTGATTCTGGACATTCAACAATAACAACAATTATGAATAAAAGTCAAATATTATCAAATGGAGAAGATTCATCATCACATACAATACATATATCATCAAAATTAAATTCAACAAAACAAACACCATGTCCAACCAAAATTAAAATTTCGAATGAAAAAGTATCAACAACAGATGAAGAACATAATGTTGATCAACTTTCTAGTTCAACAACAACAACAGCTGATGAACAAGAAATAGAAAGAACAAAAAGTTTTGATCGATCATCATCACCTTCATTTTCAATTTCATCTGTTAGTAGTGAATTAACATCATTACAATTATTATCGATCGATAATTATCAAAAGATTATTAATTCATTTCGAGATCTTATGTGTACAATTAATATTCAATCATTAACAGCAAATGATAATAATGCAGCACAACGACGAGCACTTACTGAATATTTACTTTCGTCATCACCAACAACACGTAAGATTAAAATTTTAATAGAAATTCACAAATACAAACTATATTTCTTTCTTTCTTATGAAATAAAATACTAAATTAAACAAAAAAAAATAAATAAATGACTTAACTTTCATAAATTTGAAAATTATTCCATTCGATCTAATGTGATTAAAACGTTGCAAAAAAAAAACTTCACATTCGTAGATCTTCCTTGTTCAGCTATTAATATTGTATTCAAATTCTTATCAATGATAACACAATAAATATCTGAATACTCAATATTAACGATAGATACCATTTCAGATATGACGAACTGCTGAAAATGTTCTCTTATCTGAACTTATCTGTTCGAACTGCTCACGAAAGAATTTCTTCAGCTGCTTCCTTCCGATTTCAATGATTTTTTTTGCCTATAGATACTGAATAGTGTTCTAATGAAAAGTATAAAAGAATTGGGATTTCTATTGAAATTTGACTAAGCTGTCGAATTTTTTTTTTAGAGACCCAAGTGTTCGAAAAATTTGTATTTTTCGAGTTTTGCAAAAGCCTAGAATCTCTCGAAAATAGATATATTAAAAACTCGATAACTTAGCCAAATCTCAATAGGAACCCAAATCCTTTTAGGGTTTTTATAAGAACACTCTGTAATATCTATAGGCAAAATCCATTAAAATCGGAAAAGGGCACCAGAAGAGGTTTTCTTGTCAGTCAGTGTTTTATCCAGCGTGGTAGCTGAGGAGATAGTACCTCTCAGACGATCGGATTGATCCTCTCAGACCTCGTGATGATTGTATCACGTATTATGTGTTACAGATGCGTAGGATTATCCTATCCTACTCTACCTTGCAGGGTAAGATAGTGTAAATATTAGAAGATTTTTCTCAGTCAGGGTACAGGATACGAAAAAAGCTTACCCCGTATATCTCTATAATGTGTCCATACTCCCAAAAATAGATGTTCTTCCTTGAAAATTTTAAAACGCCTCTCCGAAAGACAAAATTCAGATAAAAACACTAAGCTCAATTCAGATATTATAAGAAATGTTGAAACAGTTATTTTAATAGGAACTGATGTGTCCTAACAATTTTTATTCTATTTTGAGAAAAGCATATTAGGATATAGAAAATCTTTGTTTTATTACTAAAATGTCGTTTCTAAACCAGACCAACATTTGTCAGACAGATCAGTTCTTTTGATACGAACTGTTTTGTTCGAACAGTTATTTCGTTTATTTAATCTCGACTTTGAATTGGAAGCTGATCGACCACTATACTCAACATTCTGATAAATGTCTGTTTTGCCTGAAACTTCATAGATTGTCTAAAACTATGAAACCTATTGATAAGCAAAGTTTCGTAATCCAAACTTTTCATAACTATATTACCGTATGGATCACTCTTGAAAGAACAATTATAATTCAAAGATAAACATGAATCTTTCTAAATAGATTTTAGTCTTATCGAATACAGTTTTTACTCGTATTATTAAATCATAATTTTTGTAGCAATCGAAATGTTTCTCTCTTTTTTTCTTATAAATAACAAATATTTTTATTAATTTTCTATCAGAATTTTTAATATCTATACAAACGTATAACTTTGATTTAGCTTCTCCAACGAGTCATCATAGTTCTCGATCTATAATACTTCAACGCCGTTCATTTGATTGGTCACAATCTGCATCTTCAAATGGCACTCAATTACGAAATCGTAGCAACAAATCAGTTTCACCCAATCGTTTTCATCGTCGTTCATTGGATACTCCATCTCCTTCACCTGTATTAGTTGATTGGTCACCAATTGTTGAAGAAAAACGTCTTGATTATATAAAAACTCTTAATCAAACAATTGACGCAATACAACAACGTTTAATAACAGTACAAAAAAGTGCATTAGAAATATTTACAAATGTAACTATATCAACAATAACAGCGCGTGCTATGGAAATAACACAAGATGTTATAAATCTTCAAGGTTTTGAACGTAAAAAATATCTTGAACATCTTCGTTTAACACAAAGTCTTGATCTACGTATAAAACATTTATGGCATCAATTAATATCACAATTAACACATGAATATGGTGTTTGGTTTGAACCATTATCATATCCAAAATTTTGGGAACTTGATCCAACAGAAAATCCGCAACGTGAACGTCGTCGTTTACAACGTTCATATTGTTTAATGGAAAAACGTTTTTTACAACCTCAAATACCTGATGAAATACTTGTTAATCCTCCATTAGCTTATTTATTTGATACACGTCATTATCAATCTGTTAATATGCAAACAGTTCTTTATCGTAATGAAAAAATTGAATATCAATGTCGTTGTATGAATGTAACACCAAATAATGAAATTAAAGGTGAATTACTTGTTGGTACAACACGAATTTATTTTGTTGCTGATGAACAATTATCATTATTAACAAAAACAAAAAGTATTAATTCAGCTATGTCAACTATTGGTTATAATTATCATTCATTTAATGATGATTCAAATTCATTTTCATTTGCTATTGATGATATATGTGAAATGTATAAAAGACGTTATATGTTAAAAGATGTTGCACTTGAATTATTTTTTATAAATGGCATTACATTAATGATTGCACATGTTTCAATTAATGATAGAGAAAATCTTTATCGTTTATTAACTAAACGTAATTTAATACATTTTAAACATGGAGAAACACTTAATGAAGTACAAACATCATGGAAATATGGTCAAATGACTAATTTTGATTATTTAATGCAATTAAATAAACTAGCTGGACGAACATATTTAGGTAAATATTTATAATCAAAGATCTTTATATAAACACAATTGTAAATTCGATATGTATAGACAGTTTTAAATAAATATAGACAATCAAAAAACCTATCTAGATACTTATTTTTGTTATCATTCATATCTCATCATATGTTTTAGTTACAAGAAAATATGAGATGTTTCAAATTCGACAGGAAGTAAGACACTAGGACAACTCGTTGTAGGGCATGTTAATCTTAAAGTATTCTGAAGACATAAACGGTAGAGCCCCGACGCCTGAGCAGGCTCGAGCCCACGTTATATTGAACTGATAAGGAATTAGATAGGCTTTAGTTGATGTAACAATATTCCGTTACTGTCCAATTCTCATTTTCCTCTAGTAGATGACGCGTTGTTACAAGGTCTGCCCCACATTTTATCTACTACCAACTCGTGTCCATAAAGAATAGGCATCGAAGCCACAAAGCTTGGAGAGACTCAAGTCTATCCTAGATCCACGTTTTGTAGGCTATAACAGGTTTAAACATTTTTCTTCTTCTATCAGATTCATAGATTTGAGCAGTGCATTACAATTTTTATACAAACGCCAAAATATTTCGTTGCTTCCGGTGACTAATAATAGCATTTTCTTAGTCAAACAGAGTTTGGCATTTTAAAAATTGGTCTACTCTCATGTTTAATTTGCAGATACGAATTATAAAAAAGAATGTTGAGCCTATCTTAGAATTACAACGGTCCATCGTCTATGCCTGAAGATACATCGAAAGTAGGTGGTTATGAGTGAGTAAGAGTGGGTGTCGATGAGAGTACGTAAAAGATCCTCACTCATATCAACATCCACCAACACACTTGTAATAAAATGTAACATTCTCTTCCTTGTCTTGTTCGTGTTATCAAGCTTGTAATCATTCTGTTCATGTTTGACCACTCTCTATACACTGAACTATTCTCTTTTCTCATGATCAATGTACTTAAATGCCTTTTCGTTCTTTCTCTCTCTATCATGGATATAGATAGAAACATATGTATATAGGCAGATTATCATAAAACTCATGTTCACACATCTACAACAAATTGTCTGGTGACTGACTTAGCTGACCAATTTCTATTTGGTAGGAATGGACGAAGACTCAGCTAATGTAGTTCTATTCGATGAAGAAGTTCATGTTGAAGTTAATCCAATCGGACACCTTAGTTACTGTTTAATTGTCTCACTTATGTCGATAATAGACAATCTAAACAACTCTCTAACTTACTAGTAACGAATCGAAATCCTTCTCTATGAAAGCTGTTAATACAAATTAGAAAAACCACAGTATCATTAATTTCATGAAAATTTGAACTAACGGATTTTGATTGCTAAATAATTCTTGTTTTTTATTTTAATTTTATAGACTTAATGCAATATCCTGTATATCCATATATAGTTGCAACTTATGATACTTCAATACTTGATTTACGTTCACCATCAAACTATCGTAATCTATCTAAACCTATAGCAATTCAACATGCTGAAAAAGAAGAAAAATTTATTGATATATATACTGCTTTAAAAGATGCTCAAAATCTTGCTCTATCATGTCAACAAGAAAATGAACCACAACAACAACAACCATCATCAATATTTGGTCATCAATCTGATCCATATAATTTTGCTTCATTATATTCTAATTCTGGCATTGTTCTTCATTATCTTGTACGTCTTTTACCCTATACACGAATGTTTCTTGATTATCAAGATAATAATTTTGATTGTGCTGATCGAACATTTCACGATGTTAAAACATCATATTGGTTATCATCATTTGAATCAACATCAGATTTTAAAGAATTAATACCAGAATTTTATTATCTACCAGAATTTCTATTAAATAAACAAGGTTTTGATTTTGGTAAAAGACAAAATGTAAGATAAATATAATTATTAAAATTTCATTTCTATTTAATATTTTAATTTCAAGGGTGCACAAGTATCTGATGTTACTGTACCAGCATGGTCAAAACGTAATGTTCGTTTATTTGTATATGCTCTTCGACAAGCACTAGAATCTGATTATGTAACTACACATTTACATCAATGGATCGATCTTATATTTGGATATAAACAAACAGGTAAATTCAAATATTTTTTATTTTGTCAAAAATTTTCACAATTTCTCTTTCGAAATAGGAAAAGTAGCTGTTGATGCAATAAATGTATATCATGCTGCTTGTTATTATGGTTTTCCAATTGAAAATATAAATGATCAATTAACTCAAAAAGCTTATTATGGAATTGTTCGTACATATGGTCAAGTACCAAAAGTAAAATTAAACTTCTTTTTTTTTTTGTTTGTTTGTTTGTTTTTTTATAAAGATATATATTTCTTTTCTAGCAATTATTTTTTCATTCACATCCATCAGTTAGTACAAGTAATTCAACATTATCTTTAACATCAAATTCAAATGGAAATGATAAACGTAATAGTGAACGTAGTGTATTTGAATCAAAATTACCAATTGAAAGTATTCATCGTCAAATAATTGGTATACGTTGGGGAGATTTTATTGGTTCTTATGATATGCCATCACCAGATTATATTAAAAGTTATGATTGTCCAGTACAAGTATCATCATTTGCTGTACTTAATACAAATTCATATATTATTTGTTTACCATCATCATCATTAATTATATATAATGAACAAATATTACATGAATCAATTAATGAACAAAATAATTTATCACAATTAAATCCATTAACAATGACATTAGATACAATGATTGCATTAAAATGGAATACACCTGATTGTATTGTACGTTGTCGTACATTAAAACAATTCAAAACTTGGTATAATTTTCTTGTACCTATTGATGATCAAGATAAAATAACATGTTGTACATCAATTGATTATCGATTATTATTTATGGGAAAAACTTCTGGTTTAATTGAAATTTATCGTATTCAACGAAATAAAAATACACCAACTGGTATTGAATTAATTAAACGTTATTTACCATTCATTGCACATCGTTCACCAATTACTTGTTTATATACTAATCGACAATTTAGTTTATTAATTAGTGCAAGTGCTGATGGAATGTTAACTTTATGGGATACAAATCGGTATATAGTTCTTTCTTGTTTTTTTCAAAATTTATGAATAGAAATATCGGAGAAAAAAAAATAATATAGAAAATATTCTATTTAAAAATCAAAAACATAATTTCCATTCTTTAGACATATGATACTTTACAGCTCAATGATTCACTAAAACAAAAATAAAGATGATGACTTTCAGTTAGCAGAAATTGACAGATTCAGTTCTAGTTCGAATCTGTTCGAACTATTTTCGTTCTATTTTAGGGAAAGACACTTTCGAGTACATATATTCTTTGTTCTATTATTGAAATGGTGTTCTCAAAACAGAACAACATTTTTCAGACAGCTCAGTTCTAGGAACTGTACTGTTGGAACAGTTCTTCCATCGCATATCTTATCTGAACTTTGAACCCAATCGATATAATAGAATCTGTTTTCATTATTACTAATAAGGGAACTATCCGAGGTGATCACTTGCGTTTGAGATGAAACCCGAGTTATTACGTAGAGCCTGTTGAAACTAGAAGAAACTCATGCACTGCCATTTTCGAGTTATGATCATTACACTAGATTTTTTACCTTTAGCAGAGTATTTATAAAGAAAATCGGACAAACGAATTTTGACTTAAAGTTTGTTTGTCTCTTTTTTTTTTATGAATACCGTGTCAAGCATAAAACATTCAATGTAACGAGCGTAACTCCAAAAGAGCAACGCATGAAGAAGAATCCTTCTAGTCTCATTTAATCTGTATTATTTAGAACATAATAGAAATTTCAAATCATAAATAAACAGCATTAACATTCAATCTAGTCATGTTCATCTTCAGAAATTTATTTTGTCTGACAAGAGATATTCTCCTTTCATTCCTATTGAAAATCCCAATATCATTATAAAAAAAGTGAAGTTTCAATTTCGAAAAAGAAATGTCTCTTGATTTACATTTTGATTAAAATAAAAATAATTTAATTTTTTTAGTTTATCATATGTTCGAACATATAAACAAGATAATCAAACAATTTATCATTTAACATCATCTGAAACAACCGGTGACATAGCATATTTATCATCCAGTGGTAGTCAATGGCATCTATCCTATTTAACATGTAATTGTGATTTAATTGGTTGTTTAACATTTTTTGAACAATTAAATTGTTTATGTTTTACATCAGCACCTGAAGGAACATGTGTTAATGTTCTTTTAGGTGGTTTTGAAAATGGTATTATATCAATGTGGTCAACATGGGATTTAACATTATTACGTCAACTTAGTTTTCCTCAATTACATTCACATGCAATTATTGCAATGTGTATACCAAAATTTGATCGACGTCGATTATATGTTGTTGATCGTGATCGTCATTTACATACTATTGAAAGTCGTTCATCATCATCATCATCGACTATACTACCACAAATTCTATTTCTGTCATAATTCATTTTTGTGCTATATTTTTACTAACAGTGAGATGTATATACATATATATATATATATCTAACTAGTCAATTGATCCAGTGGTTCTTTGTTTTTTTTTTACTTTATTTTCATGTGCAATGTTCGTTGTGAACAAAATTTAATCGTTTTCTTGTTTATTCTTTTTCTTTTGATATATATAACGATGTGTTAATTTTTTCAATTTGTTTTTTCTTCTATTGTGATGGTGTACAGAGGTTGTTTACACAATTTGGAATTAGTAGTTTTCATATACATATATATATATATATATATATATATATTTATATCAAGAAAGATATATTTGGTTATTTCGATAAAAAATATTATTTGTTTCATTTTTTTTCTTTTGGCTCAGAATTTTGTGATTTTTAAATAGATATAAAATATTGGAATCTTTTAATGAGTATTTTCGTGTAATCAAGAAAACAATTGCTATTTTTCTTTAAAAATAATACACTAAGAAAAATTGTATTTAAATATTGAAAACAAACATCTATTTCGAATATTCTTTTTTTTTTGTCTTCAGATGACTGTTCAAGTTGTTAGTCGTGTAGAAGTATCATCATCATTGGATGATACACTAATTGGTCATTATTATCCAAATCGAGCACCACTTCAACCAGTTCCATTTCAAAAACTTCCACCTGGTTCCATTGAACCACAAGGTTGGTTACTTGGTCAATTAAGATCACAAATCAATGGTTTAAATGGTAAACTTTGGGAAATATCTGATTATCTTGTTTATGAACAATGTGGTTGGGTTGATCCAACGAAATCAGCTTGGGAAGAATTACCATATTGGTTACGAGGATTTGCTGATCTTGGTTTTGTAACAGGTGATCAAAATGTTTTAACATTAGCATATCGTTGGATTGATGGAATATTAAGTAGTCAACAATCTGATGGATGGTTTGGTCCAAATGCTTTACGTACATCACTTGAAGGTGGCCCTGATTTATGGCCAGCAATGCCATTATTACATGCTTTTCGTTCATTTTACGAATATACAAATGATGTTCGTGTTATACCATTTCTTTTAAAATATTTTCAATTTATTAATCAACAACCAATCGATGTATTTTCTCGTGGTTGGAGTTATACACGATGGTCAGATAATATGGATACAATTATTTGGTTATATAATCGAACAACTGATACAAATTGGTTACTTGATTTAATTAAAAAAATTCATTCAAATTCAGCTAATTGGTTGACAAGTATACCAACATGGCATAATGTTAATATTGCACAAGGATTTCGTGAACCAGCAATATATTCACTTGTTGTTAATCCATTTGATCCTCGTTTTATTCAAGCAACATATGATGATTATCAAATTGTTATGAATCAATATGGACAATTCTCAGGTGGAGGTTTTGCTGGTGATGAAAATTGTCGTGTTGGTTATGGTGATCCTCGACAAGGTTTTGAAACATGTGGTATTGTTGAATTTATGTATAGTTTTGAAATTCTTACAAGAATAACAGGTGATGGTATATGGAGTGATCGATGTGAAACATTAGCATTTAATACATTTCCAGCTACATTTGATCCATTTGTCGCACGTACTACACATTATATAACTTGTGCAAATTGTATTCAACTTGATGATCAAGTTAAAAGTCAACAACAATTTGAAAATAATTTTGCTATGCTTTCATATAAACCAGGTATTCATCAATATCGTTGTTGTCCACATAATCATGGAATGGGATGGCCATATTATGCTGAAGAAGCATGGTTAGCAACATATGATGGTGGTTTATGTGCATCATTATATGTATCAAGTGAAGTAACAGCATTAGTTGGTCCAAATGATGGTATACAAGTAACAATTATTGAAGAAACAGATTATCCATTTGATGGAAATATTCAATTTCGTTTTCAATTACCAACATCAATACAATTTAAACTTTATTTACGTATACCATATTGGTGTAAACAAGCACCAATACTTTCATTAAATGGAAATATTTTATTTAATGAAATAACACCAAATAATGGTTCATATCTTATTATTGATCGTTTGTGGATAAATAATGATGTTTTATCATTAACATTACCATTATCATTAAGAATAAAAACTTGGATATCAAATAGTAATTCTGTTTCATTATCTTATGGTCCTTTAACATTTTCATTAGGTATTAGTGAACAATATAATCGTATTGGTGGTACAGATGATTGGCCAGAATTTGAAGTAATATCAAAATCAAATTGGAATTATGGTTTAATTACAACAAATACAAATGAATGGTTAATTAAACGAAAAAAAAAGAAAAATAGTTGTGAAAATCCTTTTACAATGGATACTGTACCACTTAATCTTGAAGTTCGAGCTCGTCGTATTCTTGAATGGAAAGCAGATAGTCAAAATGTTATTGGATTATTACCACAATCACCTGTTCATAGTCAAGAACCTGATGAAATACTTACATTAATACCAATGGGTGCAGCACGACTTCGTATGACTTCATTTCCTACAATTGCTCAATAATTTATATTCATATTTTTTGAATAATTTTTCGTAATTGAGTTTTATTTATCAGATATCGTTATGTATTAATTTTAAACTGCGATATTTATCAATGAAAATCTTTTTTTTTTTATTTTATTTTTCTATTGATCTATGAATTCATTTTAACGAATACACATGAATATTGAAATTTGTATAACACTTTTTTTAGGTATCCGTAAATCAAAAACTAAATCATTGTAAAATGTGTATATGAATAAATATTTTTATTGCATTTTCTGTACTAGTAAACAATCATTTATTTTATTTTTAGATAAACGTTCTCTATCAAAATTGAATATGTCTCAAATTTGTCGTCTTATACCTCGTACAACATGGAGCGTACTCTATATATCACGTATGAGTGCACATAATCTTCCGCCTGGTACACCTATTAAAGTATATGAAGCTAAAAGTGGACATCATATTGTTTCTGGTTCTGGCCAATTTATTGCTACAGATGGGCCGTCTACTACATGACGAACAGGAGTTGTTGGTGGTGGTAGTAGTGCTAGTATGTTACCGGATGCTCAAACGGCTCATAATAAAGCTGAAAAACAATCCCATAATTCGAACAAACAGTTCAAATAAAAAGTATTAATAAAAAAAGAAATATAATGATTTTTTTTTCTCTAACTGAATTATTTTTTCTCTTTACAGACATTAAACAATTTTAGAATGATAAATAAAACGAAGAACATCGTTCAAAGAAACCCTAGAAAAACTGTCCATCAATTAGCAAATATCATATTACATTGAACAAACCCATTTTTCTTTCCTGTTATATGAAAACCAAAACGAAAATAGTTCAATCTTTTTTGTGTTATTATTGTTTAATAAAATCTAAATAGGATGTAGGCTAAAAAAAATTTTGTCCTTTCAATTGTATACATGAATTTATTTTAAAAAACAAAACAAACAATGACTTCATATCTCTATCAAACACGAACTATATTCCTGATTCCTCGATATATACCTCTATTGATTTCACGTGATCAAATCACTAAAACTGCATCAACAGCAGGTTATGTTTGATCTTGACGATATTCGTAATTGAAATGTCATTCCAATGTCAAACAATTTCAACTTTGTTACTTATTGAACACCAGCGATAAGATGAACGATAAAAGAAACTCTTCACTATGTAGGTAAACTCATCTTTGCACTTAGCTATCAAACGCTTTTTGTAGATTCAGCTGGATCCACAATGTTGTTTCTCGTTATCTACTTTTATTCGTTGTAGAACATAAAAAATAAACAAAAAAGAAATATCTCTTGTTTTTCATACGAGTGTAGTAATATATCAATACATGTGAGGACATCTACTAACTTGTGGTATTGTCAGATCTCTAGTTCTAATTTCTTTCATAATATTTTAACATCGTACTGTTATCAAAATTTCGTTGAAAAATATCTTTTAACTTGTGAATATTTCCATATATCAGGAGCTATAATAACGTTTCCCGGTCTGAGATAATTATGACAAAAGACCTTCAATTCATCTATGTCTAGCAGAAATCCATCAAAGAACCTATAAAATATCATTGGTGTGACAAAATGAGAATAGTCCTCGAGGGTTAGTACTTTTTCCCCACAGAATAGAAGCTTAGTCTGAAGGTTAGGGTGTGGAAGAAGGGTGTGAGTGTGCATTTGGATGGAGAGAAGACCCACATCCAAAAAAACTAGTCACAATTGAAGACCGCGTGACTATTACTTTCTCTTGTTGGTGATTCTATTAAGTATGAATCATTTATGAATACACTAATGGATCAATTTCGTACGACTACTAAACTTTTTATTTCTATTTGTATATCTTAGATTTATTTTAAAAAAATTTCTATTTTCTATTTTTTATTTAGATGTTGGTTATAAAATGATAATAAAGCAGATTCGAAAGAAAAAAGAAAGACATGATCTTGATCAACGAAAAGATAATGCTGCAAAAAACTAATAATTCTGCATGATTTTTCAAATTATTTTTTTCACATTTACTTATTATGTACAATATTATCTATATGTCATTACTGCAAGTCAATAATATACTTTCACTTTTAAACATTGTTGTAATGAAAGTTTTATTCATTTAATTGATCCTTACAAATAAAAAAGCTATTAACACAATTCCTATCGAATTAAAATGTAAAACATGCTGTTGCTGCTGTTACTATTTCTTCATCATCCTTTTACTAAATTCTTCAGAAATACACTAAGGCATTGATTTAATAAGATGCTATTGATATACAGCCTGTGATCGTATATCAGTAACGTCTGTCAGGGCCTATGAAGGCGGACGTCCTAATTTTTATCTCTGTACTTCAACATGTCTTTTAGATCGTGTTTCATAAGATCAATATACAAGATAATAATATTTTATGATAGAATAAACTTTCGAGATACTATTTTTTCTCAAAAACAAATCATTTTACAGACTATGTGTTTATATTTCTATTAAAGATTTGAATCAAAATAGAAATAATAAAGTTCTATACTTCTTCAAAAAAAAAACATAACATGTCGACTGTAGCTCCTTTGTTTTAAGTGCTCATTGATCATGATTCATCAATTAAAAAACACCAGATAAAGACTTTTCCTAATGTAACCTAATGGTCTATTTGTATTGGATATTTTTCTTTCATGCAAATATAATAACAGCCCACAACAAGCGCGTCTATTTTCTACATTCTGTAAGAAAAACAAACCATCTAGTGGTGGGATGGTGCTATTTTGGTATGTACATATGTAGGCGAACGGAACGAGAAAAAAAGAGAAGAAACTCAGAATTATGCTAGTCGTTTCTTTTCACCCAGAATATTTTTTCTTTCTTTGCTCTATATAAATACCAATATCTGCGAACTCTCTCTATATATATATATGTACATATATTCCATCGTTCTTTTCCATTCTCATAACAGAAAATCATATATTCTATAGATAGAAGCATATTAACCAGATAGCGTAATATTCTTCTTTTTTTTTTCTATCTAGTGTTAAGGAATGGCATCAAAAGATCAAATTACTCTTGGTTATTGGAATATTCGAGGCTTTGCTGAACCGTCTCGTCTATTACTTCATTATACAAAAACACCATTTACAAATAAATTATATAGTTTTGGTGATGCACCAGATTTTAAACGTGAAGAATGGCTTAAAGACAAAAATTCTTTAGGTCTTGATTTTCCAAATTTGCCATATTTAATTGATGGTAGTTTAAAAATATCACAAGCAAAAACAATTTTAACACATCTTGGTCGTAAATTTAAATTAATGGGTAATGATGAAGCTGAAACATCAATTATTGAATTACTTATTGATCAATCAAATGATTTAAGACAAGAATTAAATAATGTTTGTTATCGTGCTATTAATTTTGAAGCTGTAAAAAAGAAATTTTGTGATGAAACTTTACCAATACATTTAAAATTATTTGAAGATTTTCTTGTACGACGTGGAAAAAAATGGTTAATAAGTGATACATTAACAGCAGCTGATTTTCAATTATTTGAATATCTTGATCATTGTTGGCTTTTATCAAATGATGATTGGGCTGAATATCCAAAAATACTTGCTTATATGAAAGCATTTCGTGAATTACCTGAATTGAAAAAATATCTTGAAGGTGAACATGCTAAACGTCCAATTAATGGTAAAATGGCTAAATTTGGTGGTGTAGCTGTTCAACATGAAACAATAAAGAAAGAACCACCGAAAACTGAAGAAAGTGAACCAGCACCAGCACCAGCTGAAACAGCTTAATTATTAGGACGCTGTAGATTAATTTCATGTTTTTATCAAATTGCATGTTAAAAAAAATTAAAATATCTATTTGTGCTCTAATGCTCAGGATCAAACGACAAAAAAAATTATTATAGTTGCTTTGTCCTTTTGTTTTGCAATAATTTTTACTTTATTCTTTAATGAACAATTCATTTTTTTTTTATTTATTATATAATCATCAAATAATATTCTCGCTCTATTCAAGACTTTCACGAAAGTCAAAGAAGAATTAAACGAACAAAACGAACTGATGTTTTTGACTACAAATATCCATAAAAGAGCTTTTAGAAATGAAAATTACATAATATATTTTTCTTAGCCAAGTTTTGATTGAATAAAAACAAACGTCTTCAAGTTTCTATTTTTGTCTTACTTTTGAAGCACAACAATCTGATATCCATCCTTAACACTTCTCATTCTCAATCGTCAATTATAGATTATGATAATTTAATACTATGATTAGTTCATATTTGACTTTCTACTATTAATTTCTAACGAATTTCAAATGCCAAAAAAGCATATTGTTTTTGTTTTATTTGGTTAGACATTGTCATTGTTAGTGATATTTTATTGTGTCTTTTTTGTTTAAATTGACACACACGCGACAGATTAAAAAAAAAGCTTGTCAGCGGAGCCTCTTTGAAGCTGAAATGTGCAACTCAAATGATTTTTTGCGTTTGATTATATTGTTCAGATTGAACAATACGACCATTTACAGTTAATTTACGATATGTAAGCGGATCTTATTCTGGCAATAATTTTGCGCTCAGTGGTACGACTATATTATAGTAAGATTACAGTTCATCTACAGCCATGTGTGGTAAAAATACGGTTAATTTACATGTCGTTCTGGGCTATAAACGATCATATAGGGCAAAGTTATGATATTCCTTTTCGCATTTCGTTTTGCTTAATTGAACATGATTGTTACTGTAACCATTGATTTATCTAGTAAATAAGTCTGCTGTATATATCGTAATATCTACAATAGATCTCAACGCACGATTATATATCTCAATCAGTTCATATTTTTTTATGTTGATGATATAATGACCGCAGCAAAGCAATGCATCATTCTTGACATCTTCAATATAAATCTTTGTCTGCACAAAGGTCAGAAATTCTACTATGTAAAACATTTACAAAAGTATTCCAGCTGTTTGAATTTCAAAGAAAGCTTTGAAATGTTCTAGAACAGTCGAAATTTTATTGTAAATGCTGTTCAGCACATTTTTCTGTTGCTAAGAACTTTGGTGCCAGTCATCCTCGGTTCCTATGATCTAAAGAGGGAAAGCCGCAAAAACTTCAATTTAAACTTGGGTTCACTATTTTCGACGAAAATAGATGCGAGTTCCACAAAAAAAATTTACGTTATATTACTTTCGTAGATGGCACATACAAAAGAAAAATGCAAGCGGAATATCATGTGTACTTGACTAAATCATGTATTTTTTTTCGGTTGTCTTTCCTCCGAGTAAGAATCTCAAAATAATAAATGTTGACTCAAATACTCTAATTTATCTTGTCGATATTGCACTTGCATTAATTTCATTAGGCTTTAGCAACGCTTTTTTCTTGCTTTATTGATCTTAGATTGTTTCAAAATAGAATTCAAATATTTCTATCGAATACTGATAAAAATTAATGTGTATATACGTAACTATTAAGCACTTCATAGCTTGTGTAAATCGATTTATTTGACTTTA